TGATTTTCTTATCCAAATATTTTGAATTTAGTTGTTTTTCGTATCACAAACCTTTAAAGAATTAAAGTTTCATTAGTAAAAATAGTTACTAATATGATAAATGCAGGTCTATGCTGTAAATGTTCACGGAGTTTTAGACAGCACTCCCTTACGAACCACCGACAGGTATTGTCATACTTTTGTCAGAGATACCAGTTACCATGGACGTCAGAGAAGAGCGTGTTAATGTCATTGTTCCTGGATATTGATGTCGGCTTAATATTGTAACTACATATCTTGTTGATTGTCTTAATCCAATAACGCCGTGGCGTTTTGGTGACAATGCTAAAAATATACCAACACCACGAAACCTGAATCCATGTTTACGGTGTATGGCACGTAAGGGGTTTGAACAGACCCGACCTTTTGTAACAGTTACATACCGGTACATGTATGGCTATGGGAAATTCAATTACACAAAAAAAAATTAATGTTTTAATTTTGTCCGAATTCCGGTTGTAAATAGATTGGTAGATATCCTGTTTCTTTTCTCAATGCAACGTGTTAAAAACACACGTTACGTCCCTTCGGCAAATGACTTTTTCCATTGTGAATTTTGGTCAGTAAACAGGTTTTCACTATTGAGAAAATTGCTTTAGTATAGTATACTGTTTCCATTTCGTAACTTTAGAACAGGATACAGGTGCTTAAATTGATATTTATCGCTGAGCAATTTTTGAGTTTTACAACGTGTTCAGTATATACATACAACAGATCATATGTACTCTCATGTACTCTAGGTAAACGGGTTGTCGTAAAGTTTTTAAAAAGTTCAATAAAATTTTCCGATATCTCGGTGCGTATCAATTGAGATCGCCTAAAGTTCGGCCATAATGACAGCTGCTCGTTAACACCGAATTGTGATCTCCAACTAATTGTCGTAGTGTCAATTAGTCGTAATTAAAACCAGGTACACGATGTTTTGTTCAAACTAAAGCGATAAGTGTCTTGTTCGTACTGAGCTTTGACATTTTCAGATCTGCGAGTTACTCAAATGACACTCGTACTTCATCGAAATGATTGATCAGCTTTAAATCCGAGTTTATCAGGAACAGGTTAATCAAGGGGCTCCTAACTTCATCGTTAAATAAGGGTGACTTTAGAATCTCCTAAATTTCGTGGATAAGAGTAAATACCACTATCTGTAACAGTAAAAATATTTTAATTCTGATCAATATTATATTTTTCTTTGTTTGTGAAAGAACTGCTGTAAGCTAAAAATGCATTAGAAAGAGACGGTATGAAATACAAACACTTGTTTCGATATCAACACTGGGTTATCTGTAATCTGATAGAGGCTCACAATGTTTTATAAAGGCAACGCTTTATCAATTAGTGCCTGTATACAGTGAACTATGTACTCTAAGATAGTACGAATTAGTACTACAAGTTACTATCAGTTACCCGACTATTACTAGAGATCCATTCCTGGTGATAGTCGGAGGTACTGCAATAGGTCTGGTGTTTGTTTGAATCTAATATTTATTTATTTTTGTGTTTTTATTCCTTCAGTCATTTATTTCCGATAAATAGCAAATAAAGTAAAGCACTGAAACAAAATAAAATGCTAAGAGTAAGTAAAACACTAAGATAAAGTGAGATATAGAGATAAAGTGAGAGATGTTGAGATAAAGTGAGGTATTGAGATAAAGTGAGAGATGTTGAGATAAAGCGAGATATTGAGATAAAGTAAAACGCTAAGATAAAGTAAAACACTAAGATAAAGTGAGAGATTGAGATAAAGTGAGATATTGAGATAAAGTGAGAGATGTTGAGATAAAGTGAGGTATTGAGATAAAGTAAAACACTAAGATAAAGTAAAACGCTAAGATAAAGTAAAACACTAAGATATAGTGAGAGATTGAGATAAAGTGAGATACTGAGATAAAGTGAGATATTGAGATAAAGTGAGAGATGTTGAGATAAAGTGAGGTATTGAGATAAAGTAAAACACTAAGATAAATGAGATATTGAGATAAAGTGAGAGATGTTGAGATAAAGTGAGGTATTGAGATAAAGTAAAACGCTAAGATAAAGTAAAACACTAAGATAAAGTGAGAGATTGAGATAAAGTGAGATACTGAGATAAAGTAAGATAAAGTGAGACATTGAGATAAAGTAAGATAAAGTGAGATATTGATATAAAGTAAAACACTAAGATAAAGTGAGATATTGAGATAAAGTAAGATAAAGTGAGATATTGAGATAAAGTAAAACGCTAAGATAAAGTGAGATATTGATATAAAGTAAAACACTAAGATTAAGTGAGATATTGAGATAAAGCGAGATATTGAGATAAAGTAAAACACTCAGATAAGGTGAGATATTGAGATAAAGTGAGGTATTGATATAAAGTAAAACACTAAGATAAAGTGAGATATTGAGATAAAGTGAGATAAAGTGAGATATTGAGATAAAGTGAGCTATTGAGATAAAGTAAAACGCTAAGATAAAGTGAGATATTGAGATAAAGTATATTACTAAGATTAAGTGAGATATTGAGATAAAGTGAGATATTGAGATAAGTAAAACACTAAGGTTAAGTGAGATATTGAGATAAAGCGAGATATTGAGATAAAGTAAAACACTAAGATAAAGTGAAATATTGAGATAAATCTTTCCCATCCATCAGATTCCAGTATCTTGTCCGGGTTGACAAATTGGCTTGTGATTTTCCTAGAAAATTATTGTCCATCATTATGTTTTAGATTAATCATGGACTTTGCTTTATCAACATCTCAGTCCATTCTAACAATATACCATCTATGTTTCTATTACACGCTTAGAAAATGTGAAATCTTCAACAACACACCGGATTTCAATATTCTGTTTCTGATATTGAGATATCGACTGGTAAATATGACTAGGTGTCATGTTACTGGCCCAGTTCTTCCGTTGTGTGGGTTGATATCAAATCTGATTCTGTACTTTTCATGCCTGTTTTCCGTGAGTCCCTATAGTACAGTGTATTTAACATTAAAGTACACGAACAAGTGTTAAACTATTCCGTCAAAGGTTTATAAGTATACCTTGGGATTGTTGTGTCGACAGTATCACAGGGACCATCGGAACGGCGCGACCTTTCTTTTGGGACGGGCGTTCGGAAGGAACTATCTCACGGAATTCACGAGTATGTGGGTCGCAAAATTCCTGCTGTATAGTAAGGACCTATAGATACACTTGTAACACCGTACATTCCAGTCTTTCCTTTTTGTTTTAAGAATAAGATATTTTCTTTGATTCTTCCCACACGTCTATACTAGATACAGTGTTTTACTGTATCGTAGACTGTCCGTACTATACCCACATTCCCGAAGTCTCTGATAACACGCGCAACACCTCCGAAATACTTTTAGGTAATCTCACGCACTCTTTAACAGAATACCCTGAATAGACTTGAACCTAGATAAAACCAATCTCACTTTTCACAACATTCGTTCGTTTATAGGACTCCTTGCTATCATTCACACAGATAACATGGTTTTGTACTAAACATTTTCGGATCCGTTTCGGCTATTTTCAATGAGAGTTATGAGGAATACTTTTGAAAATGGCTATTTACACCTTGAAACCAATACGAGCATAGTTTCCGTCAAACATATCGATTTCTTCACGACGAACACACGTGTGAAGTTATCCGGGTTGGTTGTTTATCATAGGTTTTGATAATATGGCGTTGCTCTCTAAATTTCCCTACCTTTCGTCGAAGGTTTTCTAAGTTTCCCACAACTAATATTTCTTTGCCCACCTGCTTCTGACAAAATGGCGTGTGTTTTTCGTGAACGAAAACAACTCTGTAAAAAATTCTCAAGGTTATACAAGTCCTTAACACGAAAAAAATATTGTAGCAAACATCTATAGTCTGACTTGTAGATCTTAGTAGATCTGTAGATCTAGACGTATCATATACTATTTGAACACCCCCCGCCACCCACCATCCCCACTCCCGTTAAATAAATCCCCAACTCCCCCACCCCCTCAAGTAGGAAATAGGGGTGTTGTGTTAAATTCTAAATTGCTAAAGTCATGCACAGTGTTAGTATATTCTGGATAAACTGATCATTCAACTTTCAGTCATTATTAGAAACGGACTTATGTGAATCAGGTTTGGCAGCAACTAAATTTGAATTCTTAAAAATGAAAATCCCATTTCATACCTCGATTCAACGTTTCATGTATAGGCAAATAAAGACATCCTACTTCCTATTTCGGTATAAAACTTCCTTTTTGTTTTAAAGAAAAAAATATTCAGTTGTTGTTGAATATTCTTTATAAATTATCAGCTGTTTACTCGACATTTCTTCGCTAACGGAAAATTTCAGTTTCGAAACAGAGTTATAGAGTGAAAAGTAAACACGAGGCTTACAACATGTGAAATTTGATAATTTCCTGCTTGTGGTAGATCTAAACTACTCCGTGGTATCGGAAGGGATTTTATCAAAGTTAAGCCGGTTTACGACTGTTATCATGTACATTAGGACTGGTGTGCAAATCCAGCTATTTATAATTCAAAAGTGAACCTAATGTACGTAACAAATGAATTAATTACTATTGCTCAATGTCTACCTGTCTCGCTTCTCACGTGTTTCAGAATACGTCATCTCCTTTGCCCAGGTAGATATATGCTATGTAAATAAAGAAAAACTTGAATGGCTGTTCGGACGAGTGTGTTACATGAGGTAGTTGAGAGAACGTTTTCAAAGAACTCGGTCATCCGCTCTCATGGACCAAGACTGTACTTGAAAGTACCTGTTGAAAACTTCTGTAAGGCCGACAGCGCACAGGTATATATAGAAAATATAATACGGGGTTTGAATGAACGACAATGTTAGTCATAGCGTTCAGCCAATCAGAAGCCGCGACACAATGATTCATAGATTGACGTTCCTCGAGGTACAAGGCCATTCCACGCTCGGCGCTGTCAGAGTAAGGATGTGAACAGGGATTTTAACCAGAAACAGATATGATATTAATACGAGCATCTGTTTGACAAGTGAAAAAAGTTTTACACAAACTGTATATACCTAGTGTACAGGCACGTGAAAACATATTTGGAGTCGTTACGTCTATTTGAACTTTAGTTTTAGTAGATAGACTAAAATCATTTTTTCCTTTGACCAAGTTTTTGACCATGCCTCCTCAATCAATGATGGACCATAATACGAATTTGTTACCGGAGCCTGACGAATGTGGCCAGACGAAAATTAAATGTGTTTTAGTAGGAGACGGAGCCGTAGGCAAAACTAGCCTTGTGGTCAGTTATACGACCAACGGATACCCTACAGAATACACCCCCACAGCATTCGACAATTATGCAGGTAAGAAATCCACAGGTGTTACAGGTATATATCTATTGTTGTTTGTCTTATAACCCTAAGATGTTAGAGTGTTCTTGTTTGGTGTAAAAATTAATGTAGGTTGTTTTAAAATACATTACACGACCTGTTGTACAACTATAGTTACATAACAGATTACAATAGTGTTGGTACATTTAATCACTTAAATGTATAGCATGGACTTTAGTCAGCGATAATTACATGTAGATTTAGTTGTGAAGTTATGTAATTTTTTATTTCGTCTACAGTGCATTTATACAGGGGTGTACTCACCTTTGACTAGAAAACAGATTTTGTGTGAATCAGCTGTTTTTAATTTACATAAAGAGCAGCAAAGGAACATTATACTAATTAAATTTTGAAATATGCTAATTATTTTCAGAAATATGTTTAAGTGTTTGTCTGGGTCACATTTGTTTAGAAGTGGTTCCAGGTTAGATAAGATTTGTGTAAACATTGAGAACCAGACCTTGTGGTGTCTGAGAGCTGGCTTGAGATGCTGGCAGCACCCACTGCAAGTCATGTGTATTAGGTGTCATTTGAGCCAGCACCAGCATCCATGGCCTAGCTCAGAGGTTACAGCTGCTGGCAAAGGATTCTATTAATACAACATTTCATAAATAAATAAAAGCGAGAGGACCTTGTATCCAAGGCAGAGGTACCTATTTTATTCTATAGAACTTGAGGTATATGTATAGAGACAGAAAACGCCTAGCTTATTTCCTGTTATAGAAGATAAAACAATATAAAATTGCTTACATACATACTGATTTCACTGAAAGGATACTTTTTGAACAATGTATCTGCATATTGTATATCATGCTTGATTTTATTGTAGGGTATATCTATGTAAGTAGAACTGCATAAACTGTCACAACCAAACTTTTTGTTACCATTCAAAGGGCTCCTATAGTTTTTGGGAGGTGGGGTTGGGAAATGGACTACAAATATTTTTACTTCAAAATAGATAATTTACAGTTTTGAATTTTTACAAAACTATAGTTAAGTAATTTTCACTGGTTTTAGTGTTTCCTTTTATAGGGAGTGTTTTTGATACTGTGTAAATAGAATATGATAGTCTAGAGATAGAAGGGAAGTAAGATAGATAATGGTGTGGATAATTAATCCTAGACCGAACCTCTGATTTCTAACACTCTGTCTTATAGATGTCCATTAGTAGGGGGTGGGGCACCAATTGGGCCACTTATCAGAAACACCTGGTGGCTAAATACACTAAAAGGAAATATACACCACTGTTTACCTGTGTAGCTCATTAGAATAATTACCTGAGTAGGAAGGGGTTTTTTATTAACCCTGTCAGGTAAAAAGTCATGACATGTTCAACTGACCTAAATAATCCAGATTGGTTAAGTTTAACTAACGAATGAAAAATAAATAAGTCAGTTGTATTTTAAAATTATCATTTTTACTTGTCAGAAGTTGAATTTTTTAAGAAAAATAAATTACCTCAGTTTAATAGTAGTGTATTTTGGTTTGTAAATGATTACAGTGTAACTTCGCTCCCAATGTGTAGACGATAAAATTTTCCAATATCACATTCAAAGTTTTAATTCATTCAGAAAACTCCTGAATACGTCTTGAATCTAGGTCATTTTTTGTAGGTAGACACTGCTTGTATAGGTAGGTAAACAAGATCTCTGGTTTTATAGATCGTAACGCTTTAAATATGAATGATTTCATTTCACAAAAGACCCTGTTCACTATGTATTTACTTTATACACGAATTCATTGATATAAACCTGCCATTTAAAAATCGTCTCTCTGAAGTCTACAAACACTTAAAATGAGCTCTCCTTGAAAAACAAACCTGGGAAGCAGAAGTAAGATCTCCTTTTTGTGACGCGAGATTTATAGTGTATATCTCCTCCACACAAATTTACCAGCATTTTATTGATGTGGGTATATTTGTTAAAGACAAATTTGGCCAAGTGTTAACAGTTGGCTAAATATAACAAGGAGGATTTTAGGGAGATTGTCAGACTTGAGGCGTCAGGACTGAAAATTCTTTGGACAGTCATAAAAATCTTGAGACACTGGACAAACTGACCACTGTTTCAGTGTATTTACTAAACAAAGAGGGGACTTGACATCAGGTTTATTAATGTCTATCTGATAGAGATTATAAATAGCAGATCAACAATGTAATTTACCTGTACAGGTATAAAGTAAACAAGGTGATAATAGAGGGTACGAATTTCTTCTATGCCTGACGTATTTTGTAAACAAGACCCACTGTTTCTGATAAGTATATATACTGGTGACATCATATTTTTATAAATAAAATATTCAAAGTTGTGTTATGTAACCAAGGTCAGATAAGAGAATGAAACCAAGAAAGTTTAAAATACTGCTGTCGATATCATAGACTGGATTTGCAAATATTTTAATGCTTTAATCCAAGACAAACCGTGCATTTCTTGCAAATTTTTATTTCAATATTAGTTACACAGTTGTTATTTGAATTTTATCTTTATTATTTTGACAGTTGTTGTGACAGTAGACGGATCCCCAGTTCGACTGCAGCTTTGTGATACCGCTGGCCAGGTGAGTTGATAACACGTTACACCTATACACAATCAGCTGACATTGTGTAATCAGATGATTCACACTTACCTGTTCGGAGCAGGTGCCCTGCCCCTATATCAAACCGTGACCAAAATTAGCAAACAACATTTGTAATCATGCTTCGTAAGCAGTCTTTGTCTCTTTCCCTGTATGGTCATATGTATATAAGAGCCGAAATGCTATTTATACATTAGTGACTCATGTTTAGGCTACTCGTACCTATTGACAGATTTTGTCGGTCAGTCCCATCGTCCATCTGCTACTGTTGTATAACGAAAGATAAAAATTAAAGACTATTGATAATGATGGCAACAGATTGTGGGAATAGGGAATATTTCTAAAAACAATTAAAGAAATCTCCAGTCCTTACAGAGATGTGATACAGACATGTTAAGTGCATTTGAATGATTGTAATCACACGAGACATCACACATAATCAGACTGGCTTTATGAGTTAATGAGATAGAAAATCGTCATTGATTTTCATGTAATGTCATAGAACATGACTGGCTGAATATTATCTGAATATAAGGGAAATATTTTGAAAAATTAAACGTTGCTAATTGGGTGCGGTTATTCCGTTTGAGTACAGGTGTAGAATGGTAGCAGTAACAGTATGACTCATTTCACAATGGTGACCGGGTGTTTACCTTTCAAACTATACAATTCAACAAGGTAGCCTCCTAATTATGTACGGGAGCTTGACAAATGCTTGTTTCCATGGTATCGATAGAAGTCACGACAAAACCTCAGTGAATTTGAAAATTGACTTGTCTGTAAAAGTTTGTTACTTGATGATTCACTGGTGAGGAAAAAATTGTCCCATAAAGATTTTTTCAACCATTGCACATTCAAGTTCACCATGAAGAAATAACTTGAGGGGAATCTTTTGTGAAGTTCATATAAATCTATTGTGGTGCTAATGTGATTTACAGATAAAAAAGACATTCCCAACATAACAGATTATTTGTTCAGTGTGCTTTTGATATCAAATTCAAATTGATCCATTAACTTGTGGCATTTGATAATGGAGTACATTTAATTAAATTAACATTGTAAATGTCACTCGATACACAGATGTATGTATGTATATCACAGTTCAGTAAGTCTGCAACTGATATACTATTTAAAGCAAAACCATGTAAGCTAAAATTCTGAAGTCTTTGTCATTTACAATGGTATGAATGACAAATCAATATGATTTTACATACCAACGGCTTTCAAACAAAATGTGGCAGTCATGTCAACAAGCAAACCTATTTTCTCTCACAGGATTAAATAGTGTTCGTTAAAAATTCCAGTGTATCGTTAAGTATGGATAGCCCTCTAATTAAGCATCATTACATTTCTCATTACATGTTGGAAGTTTTATGTCAAATTGTCCGTTCTAATGATGGCGTGTGGAGGGCCAGTTGTTGTTCTGTTTGAAAAATTTTTAAACAAGGACACAACACACTTACAAAAATCACAGATAATCATCTCATTGTTTGTTTGGACAATTCAGTTTGAGGAAAATGTGGGGCAGAGAGAGAAACAAAAGAGGAAATGATAAAATTAGAAGGGAGATCAAGAGACGGGGCAAAAGTTTAAACTTTAAAACCAGACTTTTTTCTCATCGCTTGTTTCATAAATTTTAAACATGTCCTAGATCTAAGACATTTAACCGAAAAAAAAATGGGTTTTAACTCATTAAAATAAACTTCATGCAATGAAATTGTTCACAAATCAGTGAGTTCTGTGTATTTATATATACAAGTATGGAATAGGTTAGGAAAAGAAAGTATTAAACAAGGCTGTTGCTTGATTTGGGCGCTAGCCAATGGTTTCATTAGCTCTGTATAATAGGCTAGCGAGATAATGTGTCTTTGTTATATTGGCAAACTTTCTCAGCGACGACCGTATATACATATGTTTATATCTACCCCACGACCAACTTCAGCCTTGGACACGCCTAGCTTAGTTGGGAATAAAATCTGGTTTCTTACCTCTTTAACTGTGATTAAGGTATGCTGGACAGGTGTATATGGCTGTACTCTAGAATACACCACAGTCTACCATACAAAAAGCTGTCTCACCGATATACTGGTATATACCAGGATTCGAATGAAATATAACTATATTTAGGTAATATTGTAACTTAATATTCCATTCAAGAATAGCAGCAATTCTTTAATATAACACTGTGGCCTTCAAGTTTTCATTGATTTTAAATTATTCTTTCCATCGGTTTGACATTTTTTTAAGTCGGTTATGTGGAAAGTTTGCCAAGAAATTCCTTCAAATTCAGGTCAAGATTTACAGTCATCTTAACACAGTAAAAGGTCCCTAATAGGCTACAGGGTTATCAGATGAAAAATCTCCCTATTAAAAAACGTTATATGTCAGAAATCTCGGGTCATCATCAATTTCTTTATTGCCTTCAGGTTGTCTTTCATATTTCATGTAATTTCAAGATCAACTGATATTTTTTTAATAAAAGTTCAGAATTCAGATAATGGTAGCAGAGTATATGGCTAATTTTTCTGGAAAGGAATGTCTTTTTCTGGCTTTTATCGTAAACATAAATATATATTTAACAACTTGGACAGAATTTGATTTTATCAATGTAACCCTGGGCGCCAATGTAACAGAGGTCATTATTTCTTTGCCTCCGCTGGGATTTGAACCTGGGACCCCTTGGTTCCTAGTCTGATGCTCAACCAATCTGAGTGATACATTGCAGCCAGTATGTTACCAGGGTTACATAAATTTTACTGTAAGTGTGGTATTTGGTACCAGTATCAAAATTGATACACGGACATTGTCCATCTGATTCATATCCTGATAAATACATTTGACCACTCCAACCTGTTTACCTTAGTGTTTTTGTCCACTTCTTTGCCTGGTACTGACTGGTCCATGAAGTGTTAGTACCTTAGGCTGACCTTTAATACTAGGTTATATCGGTCATCGATTATATAGATGTAGCCTTCGGCTAGCTGTTTGCTATTTAACCAATTATAGCCACTTGACAAGCCACATATACTAGTGTGAAAATTGAAAGTGAAAACATATTTTTTCCAGTGTAAACTTTTGAACCGTTTTATTTTTTTTCTTAACAACTGAATTTAATGACAAGTATACAAAGGTGTTTATTTTCTGGAGAAACTAAATCAATATTTTAACTACAGTGTAATTACTTACTCTGGTTACAAGTACATATGACCACACACATTATTCATAAATACTTAAGTGTTACACAAATCCCGACCAAGTTGCCATCTTGTCTGATCTTTTAATGCAAAATAGATGCATTTCAGTGGAAATAAGAATTGGCTTGCGATATAGAATGTAGTATTTAAAATTGATATTATCCTTCAGATACATTGATTATTTGACAAGGAAACTAATATTTCACCTCACCTAAACATGTGTCAGAAAGTATGAGGTTTCAAGTGTCAAAAGTTTTTCCTAGATAATAAATATGTCTTTAAATAGATTGGCATGGACACAGAACAACACTTCACACAAAGTGATGGCTTGAGTAGTGGACGGCTTCACCTGGTGACTAATTAGGTTCTGTCCTCATGTTTACCTGGAGAGACAGGTGTTGGACAGTCAGGTATCTGTAGTTACAGGTCAGTTATATTGACCAATGGTCAGCAAGTCATTGGACTGTGTCTCTACAACTGTTGTGCCTTAGATAAGTTGTGGTCATCTCTCACCTCAGGTGATAAACTACCTAGGTCATCTTGTGTGTCCTCACCAGACTTTTTAATGACCAATCTGTGTCCAACACCTCAAATTTGTTTGAAGTTTAAACCCCAAGGTTTACTTATTATCTATAAATGTCTTATTATCTATAAATGTCATTTAATACATAAAACATTCTCAGGATCAAGATCAAGCAAATTTTGCTGACTCTGCTTTTATTAAAACCAATTCCAATTCTTCCAGTGTTGTAATATTTCCAGTTTGAAATTAGCTGGCTCATGGTGTTCTACACAGACTTTATATCAATTGTGACTCTGCTTTTATTTGTTCATCGATATCCGAGATACCAGGTCTGCTAGTCGTCTACGCTTTTCTTTATCATGAATATGCTTGAAGCATTAAAATATGCAATTCTGTCCCAAGTTAACTGTCTGGAAGAGTAACCATTAGTCTGCCCCAAGTGTAAAATGTAAAACTGGAGCCGTCTGGATGAGAAATGCAGAAATCCTGCTTATTTTATTGAGTTATCGAGGACCCGCTGGTAGTCTGCACTTAGAATTGTACAAAATGTCTTTCCAGTGCAATATAACCTACCCTGATCAATGTCATGTAGTATTCTGGTTCTTCTAGTTGCCATGCGTTTAAAATGAAGATATTTAACAGAATCTGTTTTCTAGGCTTTCTTGCTTCACGTCTGGGAATTTCTTTATAATGCTCGACTATTTCATCTGTAAATTATTTTAGGAAGTGTATTCTGAGTCCAGATTTCTAGAGATCTGGAATCTTGTAAGTCTCACTGAGCTTTCTCTTGAATGTCAACAGAATCTCAGGAAACTGGGATATAATATAGTTATGAGTTTTTTTCAAATTCAACAATTATTATTTCATTCCTCTCAGACAAATTCATGCATAGTGGAAATTGTACTTCATAATTCTCAAAAACAACTTTAGTATTTAACTGAAAATTGAATTTTTAATAAAGTATTTGGCAAATAGCAAAAGTGGATTGTCTCCTCTGCTGTTAATGACAGTTGTCATGTCCAGAACACTCGTGACCTACCAACGCCTGTAGTTGCTTGAACTTTTGAGACACGTGAGTTCACAGGTTCACGGGGACAGAACCATTACATGTCCTGTTGATGTTTAAGGCTTGGTCAATGAGAGACTTGACCTGGTCACTATTGTCCACTTTTATTTTTATCCGTGATATCCAGGGTACATTAAAACAACTTGAGTGTCATAAGCATAAAATTTGCCCGGAGTGGTACCAAGTTAAAAGTGGTACT